TAGAATAATAATAATAATAATAATAATAATAATAATAATAATAATAATAATAATAACTCGAAAATAACTCCCATAATCGACGGGTTAAGTTCGAACTACGCGATTAAACCGAAATCGCCGAACAACGAACGTTTAAAAGAAAACGCTCAAGTACTCCAACCTTTTATTCCAGACGACATCGCGACTATCAAAATAATTATAATTTCATAAATAATATTCGATAAATAGAATATTTCGAGAAATTCTATAAATCGAACGGGGCGTTACATCAGTCTTGCTTCAAATTAGTGCTACCATTAGCCAATTGTATGTTTTCCTCTTTTGCATCACTTCATTTTCACAAAACTATTGATGTTAAGATGATTGTATCTAATACTTATATTAAAAGTCATACTATTTATCAAAAATAGTAGTAAAAAAAGTCAACTCACATTTAATGCATACTTTATTTAGAAATTTCTTTATTATATGCATTAATTGCTTGCATATATACATTTCCTATTCAAATATGATCAAAAAGATTATTTCCTTAAATAATTTTATTAACTTCTGCAATAATTTTAATGATATATATTATAATTCATATTTGTCGATAGTATTTTTTAATTTTTATTTGAGTATATAAAAAATAAATATTTTTTTAAATTAATATTTTATCTATCATTTAAGAGATAATATTCACATCATTAAATGATATTACTGATAGCTAGATAATAAATTAAAATACATTAATTATTTTTTAAAATTTTGGCATGTTATTTATTTGTATCTATACTTATTATATAAGGTATCCTATTTATCAGATTTAGTAGATTGAAAAGTCAACGTAATTAATGCATTGTTATTTTTATCGAGAATTTTATTTAATTATTTTATTTATTTGTCTTATATCCCATAAAATCAGTTTAAGAAACAGAAATCTCATAACATATGACAAGTAAAAAAAAGACGTAAAATCTTTACTAAAATAAAAAGATTTTATTTATTTGTCTCATTACATATTAACATCGATTTTGTCAAAATAAATACCATAAAATCAGTGAAGTCAAAATTTGTACGTAAAGTCTATCTATAAAAAAAAAAACCAGATTCAAAATTTCTTATCTAATTCTTTCTTTTTCTTATCTAATTCCTTCTTTTCCTTATCTAATTCTTTTTTATTATCTAATTGTATGAAAATCTGTTCTGATTTTGTTCAACCCTCTAATTGTATTTGTATTATATTCCATAAAATCGGTTTCACAAAAAAATCCCATAACATCCGATAAGTAAAAAACAAAGTATGTAAAATATTTACTAAAATAAAAAGGCTTTATTTATTATCTAATTTATTAATTGTATAGAAATCTGTTCTGATTTTATGGTACGTACTACAAATTGTGCACCCGTGTTCAGGAGCTACTTAACGGGCAAGCTTTGTGGAAATGACTCATTTAGTGCTTCTGTCCCGTGCATACGGTATGTATTTTTATTACACATACTAGAAAATTGTGCACCCCGTGCATCGCACGGGCTTTGTACTAATAAATGACCTTAAAATTGTGCACCCCGTGCATCACCCGTGTTCACATTTTATCCTTTTACAGGTCACTACTATATATATCCCGTACATTTTTTGTTCATTTATATAATTATAAGAATGGATAAATGACCTTAAAATTGTGCACCCCGTGCATCGCACGTGCTTTATACTAGTTTGTATGAACTGAGAGAGATAGCCTTGCAGTAATACATATAGAATGATACGCATAATCCTAACACTTCTGTTTGTCCCATTTTTGTTGTATTTTTCGTTGTCTTTTTATCTTTCTTTTTCCCCCATATTGAGTCTTTTCTTTGGGTTTTATTCGTTTTTGTAGTTTATTGCGTGTTTTGATCTATTTCAGTTTTTTTCTTGTGTTTCTGTGTGTTTTTCCGTTTTTCTTTGTTTATGGTGTGTAGGTCTGAAGCTTCAAGAGGACATAATTTTGGGCAAAAGCTTATTGTGCAAGCATAATTAAATAGAGGAGTTCGTTGGCAACACACAGGAAAAAGCGGAATCGAATTCTGAGTCCAAACGAACCCGAACGAGCCCAAACAGTGAAATCGTGCAAAGTTGCCCAGGCCATAGCGCCGCTATGGACATAGCGCCGCTATGGCCCCAGATAGCGGCGTTACATGGCAAAGCAATGGGCAGAGGCTCGAGCATTTCATCCCAAAGCGCCGCTATGGTCGTAGCGGAGCTATGACCCCCTACAAGCCCCAGAATAGTATAAAAAGCCCCAAAACTCGTTTTTTTCTCCATTCTTTTCACTTCCAGCTTGAAGGGGGAGGAACCCGAGGTCCAAAAATCTCTTCCCCCCTTCACTTCT